AACAATGGGTTAAAACATAACATCATCACTGAGGATGGCTTAGAACCAGAGAGTGTTTCTTTCTGTTGTATATACGTCTCTGAGTCAGAACCGACTCAATGGTGCCTAATAATGACAACAACACATACAAATTCAGAAGAAAGATGAGGTTTTTCTGCTCCTGTAACGATTAGCAGACTTAGAAATGCTACACAGAGTCATTATGAGTTGGAGCTGACTCGAGGAAACTTAACAACAACAACAGTGTACAAGTTGGTCAACTATTAGTCGAAACCAGAAAGACTGGCAGTTCAAACCCACCCAGAGGTACTAAAGACAGACCTGGTGATCTGCATCCAAAAGGTCAGTCTTGAAAACCCTATGGAGTAGTTCAATTCTGCATACATTGTGTTGACATGAGTAGAATCAATTCAATGGCAACTCACAACAGCCACAATGCTCATGCTACCAAACAAAAATGACTTAATTTTCTCACTGTATAAGAAAATCTGTCAAAGTTTTCTATTGAAAAACTATAAAACATTAATTCATACAATCAATTTCATAATACCTCTAAATAGAAAACACCACATAGATTCAAAATAATACTCATTTTAAAAGTAATACATTTGTGCTGAATCCAATGAGTAGTGGTTTAAGATGACAAAAAATGAGGGATGGGCCAAAATTAGATGGAATCCTGTGAGTAGAATGACAAACTAGTAAGTGGTAAAAGGCAGAAGACTACACACTTTTAGATATTTACAAACTCCAAATGAGCATGAGAGGATTCAGAAAGAATGGAATGCAACAATAAAGCTGATCAAATCAAATGAACTAGTATATATTTTAAATTCTTTCCATTATGAATATAAAACATATTTTAAGACACATTGACCCTAAAACTCAAAGAACATTTAAAAAGGAATATGAACTCCCATTTTGATGTGGTTAAAATTTAAGAGTGCAGAATTCTTCAGGGAAGGGTTAGAAAGATGGAAGCATCATCTTCAGAAACATACATACCTAGAAGGAGGATATGTCAAGAAATAATAGTCTCCTATTAAAAAAGAACTTTTAATTGTGAATGGAATAAAAGTTTATGAGCAAATCATCAGTTTTACATTCAACAAAACATGTATTTCGGTTCATCACAATGATCTGTAATCCCATCAATGTAACATGATGTATCCCACTTCCTTACTATGGTTGTTTCCATTCTTCCTTCTTCTTTAATCCTGAATTCTCTCCTTAGGTAAATGCTACCCTTTGCTTGAATGGCTGACCATTCTACAGTGAATGTACCTCACTAGTGCTGTCCCCCAATATAGTTATGTACTGCTTGGCAGAAAACTGAGCTATGGAGGTGAATTCAATTCCAGATCTGAAGGGTGACCAAGGGTCATAGTCTCAGGTTTCATCAGTCTGTCTGACCAATAAGCCTGGTCTTTTTTATTACTTTGAGTTTTGTTCCACATTTTCTTCCACTCTATCCCTTTCAGAGCAACTGGCAATGGTAACCAGACACCACCTAATTCTTCTGGTCTCAGGATCATGGAGACTCATGTTCATGTGGTTCATTAGTCCACTGGACTAATTGTTTCCAGGTTTCTTCCATTTTTATCATTCTTGTGTCTTACAGATAGGGAGAGATCAATAGTTATACCTAAGATGGTCGCTCATGAGCTTTCAAGGTCCTAGTTGCCACTCATCAAAGTAGAATATAGAACAGTGTTTATGTGGACTATGTTATGCCAACTGACCACAGTGCCCCCTGAGACTATGGTCTTGAGTCCTCAAGCACAATAGCTTCACATTTTGACATTTTTTGTTTAATAAAGGTTTCTGTGATTTTGAAATCTTACCTTTTGACTTACCCTTATACTTTTGCCATTTAGGCATTTGTTTTCTGTATAACTTATAATTTTTGGTTCTCAATTCCTCTACTACTGCTTGTTTTATGTTTAGTTGCATTTTTGTAGCAAACAATTTAGATTCTATTCTGTCATTTTCTGTCTATATTTTTTAGCTATAACAATTAGAAGATTAATAACAACTTAGTATCAACAGTACACAAATACATTCTATACATCTCCTTTCTTCTCCTTCACACTGCTATCACAGATTACACCTTTATCAAATAATTATATTAACAGAAATCTATAATTATTGTTTTATGCATTTACATTTCAAATCATATAGGAAAAAAAGAGAAGTTATATATCCCCATATACTATAACACTGACCTTTATATCTACCAATATTGTTATTTTTATCGGTGATGTTTATTTATTTATTTTTTTATGGCTCTGAGTTACTGTCTGTTGTTGTTGTTATATGCTGTGGACTCGGTTCCGACTCATAGCAACCCTGTACAGGGTTTCCGAGGCTGTAAATCTTTACGGCAGCAGAATGCCTCATCTTTCTCCCGCGGAACAGCTGGTGGTTTCAAACTGCTGACCTTGCGGTTCGCAGCCCAATTCAATTCGTAACCACTATGCTACCAGAGCTACCAGAGTTACTGTCTAGTGCTCTTTTATTTTACCCTAAACTACTTTTTCTAGCATTTATTCACCACCCTCATTTTTTTAAAAAAAGTTTTTTTTTTTGATTGTTTTTTTGTTTACATGGGTGAACATTATCTTTACATTCATCCTACTGTACTTTGTTTCATCACCCTCATTTTTTAGGGACAGTTTTACTGGACGCAGAATCCTTGGTTGACAATGTTTTTGCTTCAGGATTTTAAATATGTCATCCCACTGCTTTCTGTCATTTGTAGTTTCTGAAGAAAAATCAGCAATTCATCTTATCTAGGAGTCCTAGTGTGGCACTGCAGGATGATGTGCTGGACCTCAAGGTCAATTTGAGCCACAAGGTTGGCTGTTCAAACCTACCAACTCTTTCTCAGAAACCCTATACAGAGTTGCTATGAGTCGGAACCAACTCGATGGCACTTAGCAACAACATCAACAATCTTATTCAGGATTCCTTGTGCATGACTTAGTCACATCTTTCAAAATTCTTTGTCACTAGGTTTCTACAATTTGACTACAATGTTTCTCAATATAATTCTTGGAGTTTATACTGCTTGAAGTTCGCTGAGCATCTAGGATGTAGATAATCATGTTTTTTATCAAATGTTGTTAAGCGTCCTCTAGTAAGTTCCCACTCACAGTGACCCCATAATAAGGTTTCTGAGGATCAGCTGGTGGGTTTGAACTGCCGTGTGGTTCAAACCGACCTTGTGGTCCAGTGATTATCTTATGTCACCACACCAGAACTCATACAATATGGGAGACCATTATTTTTTCAAACATTTTTTCTGATTTTCACTTTCTTCTCCTCCTAGAACCTATGAGGTGTATTGATGGGAAAGGTAATTTAACCAATGAGAAATATGCTTATCAAGGTTAGGTAACGTGCCAAGATTATGTTCTTGTTAAGTGCTGTTAAGTAGATTCCTACTCATACTGACTCTGTATAGGGTTCCAAGGGGTAGCTGGTGGGTTTGAACTGCTAATCTTGTGTTAGCAGTCTGTTGTTTATCCTACAGGACCACACCAGGAGTCAAAGATTATACAGCTAGAAAATTGTAGAACTGTGATTTATATCCTGCTTCTAATTCCAAACTTACACAGGGCAACGGTTCTCAACTAGGAATGATTCTGTCTTCACCCACAACCTCAAGACAGTTGGCACTACCTGCAGACAATTTTGTTTGTCAACACTGCATGATGTGCAGAGCAAAATCCAAATTTTTAAGAAGTACAGACTTGCTGGACCATTTGAAACTAGAGGACTCAATGAGAGTACTGCCCTGAGATATTCTTTGAACCTGAACTAACACTATTCCAAAGATATATATAACTATGAATACAATGGTGGTAGTAGTGGTATGTCATGGAGTCAGTTCTGCCTCACAGCGACCCAGCATAAGGTTTCCAAGGTTGTAAATCTTTACCGGAGTAGTGCTCTAGTAAACAACTAACAATATGAGACCAAAAAGTCAACAATTACTTTAAGCAAAGATGAGAAGCTAAGGGGACAAGAAATTAATAGAAAGGGAGCAAGCAAAATGAAATTAAAGAGACAGTTGACACACTGGGGAAAATGTAACTAATGTCACTGAATAATCTGTGAGATATTGTCAAATGGGAACCTAATTTGCTAAATAAACTTTTACTGAAAACAGAATATTCCCAAAAATAAACAAACAACACACACACATGTGTTGCTGTTGTTAAGTGCCATCAAGTCAGTTCTGACTCATAGAAACCTTGTATAGTATTTCCAAAGCTGTCAATCTATACAGGAGCATACAGCTTCATCTTTCTCCCCCAAAGCACATGATGGGCTTGAATTGCTGACCTTGTGGTTCACAGCCCCGTGCTTAATCTCCAGAGCCACCACACACACACACACACACACACAAAAAAAAAAAAAAAAAAAAAAAACATATGAGGGAGCATACCTAGTGAGATTCTGCTAAACAGAATTTCATAGAACAGCCCTCACAACAAAGAATTATCTGGCCAAAAATGTCAATAATGCTGAAGGGACTATAAACATAAACAAACAAAACACCAAAAACCCTTTAAAGATGAGATATGAGCTCAGTCTTGAGCATAGGTAGGATGTGGATAAGCTAGCAGTGGTGGTGATGGAAGTGAATTCTAGATAAGAATATTAGAGAGAAAAGTATACATAACTTAGGTTCCAGAGAGAGTGAAAAGCCAACTTAGCAATATTAAAGGAGAAGTGGCGAGCAAGACTGGCAAGATGAAATGATCTTTTTGAAAGACTAAAACATGAACTGGATTCAGTGAAGATTTCTGAGCAGGAAATAACAAACAATATGTGTTATAGTAAGATTAATCAGAAAATGAAGGCCAAGAGATTAATTAGGATGATACTGTAATAGTTCAGAAATAAGATATTCAGAGTTTATGCTTTGGTGTGGTGGGAGCAAGACAGAATTTTTGTCTTTTCTGACTCAAATGACTATAAATTACTCTTACCTGTAATGCACTGAAACTGTCCATCTTCTCTTCTTATTGTAAATGCTTCTCCAGGGTTAACTTGTACCAGAATAACCTTAAAGACACGAGAATTATAATTAATCAAAACAATAGAGCATCACTGTATCAAATATATCAATAGACCCTAATTTGTTGTTGTTAAGTGTCATCAAGTAGATCCTATATATGGTTCCTAAGGAGTGGCTGGTGGATTTAAACCAATGACTTTGTGGTTAGCCGTCTAGTACTTGCATTTACACATCAGGGATCCATATGAAAATACTAAAAGTTAATAATAGAAAAAAAATAATAAAGGGGAGGTACGCAACCTTATGACATGTTAGGTGCCGTCAAGTTGGTTCTGACCCAGAGTGACCCTATACACACAACAAAAGGAAACACTGCCTGGTCCTGTGCCATCCTCACAATCATTGCTATACTTGAGCACATTGCCAAGTGAAGCAATTAATTTTTTGTTTGCTCCATGACAATACATATCATTGGGGATCTTCCTGTATTTAATGAACCTCCATTTTATCAAATATTAAGTCCTTTTCAGGGGACTTGTCTCTCCTGAGACTATGCCTGAAGCATAAGAGACAAATTCTGGCCATCCTGACTTAAAAGGAAACTTCTGGCTATACTTCTTCCAACACAGATTTGTTTGTTCTTCTGGTAGTCCATGGTACTTTTAATTCTTCTCCAACACCACAATTCAAATGCATCAATTCTTCTATGGTCTTCCTTATTCACTGTATTACATTCACATACATATGAGGTTACTGAAAACATCATGGCTCGGGCAAAACTCACCTTATCCTCAATCTGACATCTTTGCTCTGGAACACTACACGGAGAAATCTGTGGAGTAGATATGCCTCATGTAGTATGTCATCTGATTTCTTGATTTCTGCTTAAATGATGTTAAGACAGTGATTCCAAGCAAAATGAAGTCTTTTGACAACTACAATCTTTTCTCCATTTATCATGATGTTATTTATTGGCCCGGTTGTGAGGGTTTTTGTTTTCTTTATATTGAGGTGCAACCCACACGGAAGGCTGTGGTCTTTTATCTTTATCACTGAGTATTTTAAGTCCTTTTCACTTTTAGCAAATAAGGTTATATCATTTACATATTGCAGGTTGTACATGAGTCTTCCTTAATCTTGATGCCACATTCTTCTTCAGACAATCCTGATTCTTGGACTATTTCCGAAGCTTAGAGATTGAATAAATATGGTAAAAGAACACAATCTTGGTACATGGAAGAACTGCCTCTTGATCTACGTACAGGTTCCTCAGAAGCATAATTTAGTGTCCTAGAATACCCATTTCTTCATGTTATCCATAGTTTGTCATGATCCACATAGCTGAAAGGCTTTGCATAGTTAGTACAACACATCTTTCTGGTTTATACTCTCTGCTTTCAGCCAAGATCCATCTAATGTGAGCAATGATATCCCTTGTTCCACGTCCTCGTCTAAATCTGAATTGAGCCTCTCTGACAGTTCCCCGTCAATGTGCTGTGGCAGTTGTTTTTGAATTATCTTTAGCAAAACTTTACTTGAGCGTGATAGTAATGATATTACCTGATGATTTCCTCATTCCATTGTGTCATCTCTCCTTAGAATGCACACAGATATGGATCTCTTCCAATCAGTTGTCTTCCAAATTTTGAGGGAGATGAGTGAGTGCCTCCAGTGTTGCATCAGTTTGTTGAAAGATTTCAAATTGTATTCCATCATTTCCCCAAGCCTTGTTCTTTGCCAATGCATTCAGTGCACTTTGGACCTCTTCTTATAGTATCTTTTAGTTCTTGATTATATACTACCTCTCGAAATAACTCAACATTTATCATTTCTTTTTGGTAAAATGATATTGTATATTCTTTTGACTTACCTTTGATGTTGTCTGCATCATTCGATATTTTGCCCACAGAACCCTACAAAATATTGCAAGTCAAAGCTTTTATTTTTTCTTCAGTTCTTTTAGCTTGAGAAATGCTAAGTCTTCCTTTTTCGTTTTCTAACTCCAGGTTTTTGCACATTTCATTAAAACACTTGATTTTTGTTTTCTTGAGCTCCCCTTTGAAATTTTCTGTTCAAGTTTTTTTTACCTCTGCATTTCACCCTTTTCTTTTAGCATCTCTACACTAGAAAACAAGTTTCAGAGTCTCTTCTGACATCCATTTTGGTCTTTTCTTTCTTTCTTTCCTTCTTAATGACCTTTTGCTTTCGTCCTGTCTGATGTTCTTGATGTCATAACTCTTCTGATCTTCGATCATTAGTGTTTAATGCATCAAATCTGTTCTTACAATGGCCTCTAAATTCAGGTGGGATAAATATTCAAGGTCATATTTTAGTTTTCATGGGCTTGTCTTAATTTTCTTCAGCTTCAGCCTGAACTTGCATATGAGCAATTGATGGTCTGTTCCAGTCTGCCCCTGGACTTGTTTTGGCTAATAATATGGAGCTTTTCTAACATCTCTTCCCACAGATGTAGTCAATTTGATTTCTGTGTCTTCCATCTGATGAGGTCTATGTGTATAGTCAGTTTTTACATTGTTTATAAAAGGTATTTGCAATGAAGTAGTCATTGGTCTTCCAAAATTCTTTCATGCAACTTCCAGCATAGTGTCTATCACTAAGAACATATTTTCCAATTACCAATCCTTCTTCATTTCCAAACTTTGCATTTCAATCACCAGTAATTATCAATACATCTTGATTGCATTTTTGATCAATTTCAGGCTGAAGAAGTTCATATAGAATTCTCCAATTTCATTATCACTGATTTTAGTGGTTGGTCTGTAGTATAATTTGAGTAATAGTGTATTTAACTGGTTTTCCTTGCTGTTATGTGCCATCGAGTCAGTTTCAACTCATAGCAACCTTGTATAGGGTTTCTGAGGAGCAGCTGGTGAGCTTGAACTTCTGACCTTGCAGTTCAAACTGATCTTGCAGTCCAGCACATTAACTCACAGCACCACTTCCTTGTAGGGGTATGTAAATTATCTTATCAGAGAACACTGTACCACAAGGGAGACCTTGAAACGTTCTTTTTGATGATGACTGTTATACCATTCCTCTTCAATTTGTCTGTCTCAGCATAGTAAATCACATAATTAACAGGTTCAAAATAGTTAATACCAGTCCATTTCAGCTCATCAATGTCTAGGATATTGATCTTTATGTGTTTGATTTAACTTCTGATAACTTCTACTTTTTTCTAAATTTACACTTAGTTCATTCCCTGTTCTTTAACGGTTGTTTGCTTATTTTCCTCCACATTTTAAGTTGTCCACCTTCAGCAAATGAAGGTCTCGAAAGCTTGAATCTATCCACATCATATGGTCACCTCTACTTTGAGGAGCAGCTCTTTCACAGTTGCATTTTGAGTGCCTTCCATCATAAGGGGCTCATCTTTTATCACTATATGGTGCTATTCATAATGTTTTCATTTTCTGGTACTATATATATCTAACAATGTTCTGCGGTAATTAATAAGTTTTCCAGTGGCTAAGCATTCAGAAGTAATCTGGCTCTCCTTTTTAGTCTGTCTTAGTCTGGAAGCTCAGCTGAAACCTGTCCATTATGGGTGATCCTGCTGGAATTTAAAATACTGGTGGCATAACTTCCAGCATCAGAGAGACATGCAAGCCACCACAGTATGGTAAACTGACAAATGAGTGATAGTTAAGACACTTGGTAGTATTAAATTTTTTTTTTTAAGATTGTAAAAAGGGATTGATTATAAGTCTGAATTTCTTGTTACTTCATTTATCTTGAAGTGATTACTGAAGCTGAAAAGTAGGGAAAATAAAAGAAAGTAATAAACCTATTTTTGTAAAGTTAATAAAACTGTACTTTGAAATGAAAATGGAGTAAATTGCAGACAATTTAGATGATTTATATTTAGTTCAACTATTTTCCTAAAGATAAACTACAAACACACACATTAATCCCATCATTTTAAGTATTTTTTTCATGATAAATTTCACAAATGTAGAACATCTTATTAATTTTATTTACATGTTCAAATTAAATTGTTCAATAATACTGGATTAGTTAAAATATTAACAGAGTTAGTTTAACCTGTTTTTAATGTTGTAACTAAAATTTTTTAATTAAGTATGTGGTTTACATTACATTTCTACTGAACAGCACTGATCTTGAGGTTTGATAAATACTTCTTGCCATTTGCTTCTAGGTTTTAGATCATTTAAATGCTTACATTCATTAATGCACCTAAAATTTAATTGAAGAAAAGTAAAAAACATATTTTCAAAGGAAACAAATTAATACTAATATAATTTGTAAAACAGGTATATTCTTCAGTACATGACATACATATTTGGCCTTACTCAGCAGTATCATCTATGCTGCCAAAAGCAGATTTGGCAATATGCTGTAGTCACTGTAACTTTTAAAACATGCTTAATGTTGTATACCTAATTATTATTCTTTTTCAAATATTAATTGGAAATGGACTAAAATGTGCTAGCAATCACAGTTACCAAAAATGCAGTGGGATGCATAAAGATAGATATCTTTGGCAATACTGAGCTGAAATGGAAATTTGCCACTTGGAATCCAAAAATAGTTTATCTTACACTATGCCAGGAACATCAAATTGAAGAGGAATGGCATCATATTCATTGTCAAAAAGAACATTTCAAGATCTCTCTTGAAGTACAATGTTATCTGTGATAGGATAATTTCCATTCCCCTACAAGGAAGACCAGTTAATACCACTATTATTAAAATTTAGGCACCAATCACAGTGATGACAAAACTGAAAATTTTTAATCAAATTCGATAGGGAGTGAGCATGGCATGGAACTGTAAACCAAATGGTCATTGGTTCAAGTCAACCACCTGCTCCAAGGTAGAAAGATGAGGCTATCTGTTCCAGCAAAGACTTTTAAAAGTCTCAGAAGCTCTATACAAGGTCTCTCTGAATTGAAACCAGTCCTGGTGTGGTGCTGTGGGTTAATGCACTGGACTTCAAATTCAGTTTGAACCACAAGGTTGGTGGCTCAAGGTCACCAGTTGCTCCTCAGAAACCCTATGCTGG